CATCGGCATGCCTGAGTTTTGAAATACTGGTGATTTGAGACCATATGACACAAGAAATGTCCTGAGGCCAGAACACAAGCCTTTAGCCCAGGGACACTCACATGGGGTCCCCCAAGCCCTGTTTCTTGGGGATACCTCAGAAACTGGGTCTGACCCCACCGGGTATGTCTTGTTTGTTTGTTTGTTTTGAGACGGAGTCTCGCTCTGTCGCCCAGGCTGGAGTGTAGTGGCGCAATCTCGGCTCACTGCAAACTCCACCTCCCCGGGTTCACACCATTCACCTCAGCCTCCCAAGTAGCTGGGACTACAGGCGCCCGTCACCACGCCCGGCTAATATTTTGTATTTTTAGTAGAGACGGGGTTTCACCATGTTAGCCAGGATGGTCTCCATCTCCTGACCTCATGATCCGCCCGCCTCGGCCTCCCAAAATGCTGGGATTACAGGCTTGAGCCACTGTGCCCAGCCCCCACCAGGTATGTCTTAAAAGGAGGATTCATCAGTAGCAGGGAGAAGGGCTGCTGGGCTCTCTTTTTCAGCCACAGCATTAAGTTAGAAAGAGAAAAAAAACCAGGGGTAGAAGTGAAGCAGCAAGAACAGGTGTGGTGTATTTTCTTTTTAATGACGTCGAGTCATTCTGCAGCCAACTCCATGCCATGTAGCCTCAAGCCGGGGAGTTTTGTTTTCCCTAAGCAATAGAATCCGACTCTGCCAGCAAGAAGCGCTTGACTGCTGTTCCTTAAACATGCAGAAGGGTTTTTTGTCTTGTTTTGTTTTGCATAATGGACACATTTCCCATGCAGCGACTTTCTGGGTTCTTTGTCATATGTCAAGGTAAGCGTTTAGAAAACTCCTCCGTGGGCCACGGGGAGGCAATTTTCACCTAATACAGAATGCTTAAGATGGAGAAAGCCAACTTTTCAATATCGCTTCAGGGACCATATTTTGTGCATTCAACACAGCTGAATGCAGACAAAGTCAAGAGTTAAAATTGAGTGTAAACTCCTGACAAGGAGATTGAAAGGGGGAAGTGATGGCTGGTGAATTACTGCCCCCTGGTGGTCACACACAGTAATGGGCTCATTTTGCTGTAATAATCCTTTTGAGTCTTCCTGTTTTCCCCTGCCATCTTCCATTACCCTCTACAAAGGGGTTGCAATCTGGCGGCCCTGGAAAGCCAGCCGGCAGCCATGCCAATTGCCTTAAAATCTGGAGATACTGCTTTAAAAATCTAGGCCTCACATATCTTTTGAAAAATTGAAAACTCTGTCCACTTTTAGACTGCATCCCAGCTAATAAATATGGGTTCCAGCTGAGAAGCTGCTGCCCACTTTAGACAAGGTATGTGCTCTCAGATCTGCCACACTCCCCACCTCTCCCTATTGTCTCATGGCCAGTAAGTTTTACTCATTAGCCGTTCCTGCATAGCTTCTGGATTTACTACTCGTAGCCTAAGCTAATTAAAGAGCTAACAAAGAGAGGAGGGTGCCTTCAGAAGCAGACGATTACATTGCTTTACACCTGGGTGTGGACAGGAGTCGACAAGTCTCATAATACCCAGCTCAGTGAGGATAAGTGACTTGTTCAAGGTCACCCAGCTAGCAAGCGGCGGGCCTTGCATTTCAATGCACATCTGTCTGATCCCAGAGCTTCACTGTTTTCTAACATACCAACAGTCACCCATACCTACCAGGCCCTCCTCTGGGGAAGGTTTTTACAATGACATACTTGGGCCATCAGGAAGTGCAATTCAGAGGACTCCAAAAGAAAAATGTTCATGACCTTTGTTGAAAAGATTAAAAATGAGAAGCCACCAAAATAATCACCACCCTGATTTTGCTCCTTAAAAACTATGGATCTTCTGGTCAGGCACGGTGGCTCAAGCCTGTTATTCCAGCACTTTGGGAGGCCAAGGCAGGCAGATCACTTGAGGTCAGGAGTTGAAGACCAGCCTGGCCAACATAACGAAACTACGTGTCTATTAAAATACAAAAAAATTAGCCGAGTGCGGTGGCACACGCCTGTAATCCCTGCTACTCAGGAGGCTGAGGCAGGAGAATCGCTTGAATCCAGAAGGTGGAGATTGCAGTGAGCCAAGATCACATCACACTCCAGCCTGGGTGGCAGAGCAAGACTCTGTCTCAAAAAAAAAAAAAAAAAAATTAGCCTGTGTGTGCCTGTAGTCCCAGCTACCAGGGACGCTGAGATGGTAGGATCACTTAAACCCAGGACATGGAGGTTGCAGTGAGCAAGATCACGCCACTGCACTCAAGCCTGGGCAACAGAGTGAGATCCTATTTCAAAAAAGATAGATATGTGATTGATAGATAGATAGATAGATAGATGATAGATAGATAGATACACACACACATACATACATACATACATACATACCTAGTTTGCTCTGTGCCAGATGTATAGAATCTCATTTCACCCTCACATAAAACCCTATAAAGCGGTAATATCATCACATTGTGTGCAGTTTACAGAAAAGCCTAGACAGATGATCAACTAGATCAAGTCACTTGCTGAATGTGATTCAGTTTGCAAGTGGCAGAGCTGGGATTTGAACCCAGGGCTATGTGACTCCTAACAGTGACACCCACAACCACCACCTAGCCCTGCCTCCAAGAGCAGTACCTGTCACAGAGGAGGTCAGATCTTGAAGCATCAAGCCTTCTGCAAATCCTGAACTGGATGCCAAAAGCAAGGTAGGCTGTTTGTCCCCATTTTACAAGTGGGGAAAGTGAGGCTAGGAGTAACATGCCCACGGTGACACAGAGAGTAAATGGCAAAGTCTGAATTTGAGCTCAGGTCTCTCTGACTCCCCAGAATCTGAACTGCTAATTTCTAAATACTTAGTGTTTCTGGGGCACCTTCCTAGATGTTTAATTTCAGTATTTGTGGATTAAGATGGAGGTTTCCATTCTCTGCTTCAAGGAAAAAATTTCTCTATGGGAAGCCAAAATAACTAGCCAGATCCTTCTGGAGAGGATACAAATTAAAAAGTCAGGGAGGACCGAGGGGGTGGCTCATGCCTGTAATCTTAGCGCTTTGGGAAGCCAAGGTGGAGGAAGAGCTTGAGGTCAAGAGTTCGAGACCAACCCTGGTGACATAGCCAGACCCTGTCTCTAAAGAAAATAAAAAATCAGAAATAGGTCGGGCGCGGTGCCTCACGCCTGTAATCCCAGCACTTTGGGGGGTGGAGGCAGGTGGATCACCTGAGGTCAGGAGTTCAAGACCAGCCTGGCCAACATGGTGAAACTCCGTCTCTACTAAAAATACAAAAATTAGCCGGGCGTGGTGATGTGCACCTGTAATCCCAGCTACTCGGGAGACTGAGGCAGGAGATCGCTTGAACCCCGGAGGCGGAGGTTGCAGTGGGCCGAGATCGCGCCACTTCCCTCCAGCCTGGGCAACAGAGTGACTCCGTCTCAAGAAAAAAAAAAAAAGAAAAGAAAAGAAAAAGAAAACTTGGCCGGGCGCGGTGGCTCAAGCCTGTAATCCCAGCACTTTGGGAGGCCGAGACGGGCGGATCACGAGGTCAGGAGATCGAGACCATCCTGGCTAACACGGTGAAACCCCATCTCTACTAAAAATACAAAAAACTAGCCGGGCGAGGTGGCGGGCGCCTGTAGTCCCAGCTACTCGGGAGGCTGAGGCAGGAGAATGGTGTAAACCCAGGAGGCGGAACTTGCAGTGAGCTGAGATCCGGCCACTGCACTCCAGCCTGGGTGACAGAGCGAGACTCCGTCTCAAAAAAAAAAAAAAAGAAAAAAGAAAAAGAAAACTCGCCGGGCGTGGTGGCACGCACTTGTAGTCCCAGCTACTTGGGAGGCTGAGGTGGGAGGATTGCTTGAGCCCAGGAGGTGGAGGCTGCAGTGAGCTGCAATTGCTCCACTGCACTCCAGCCTGGGCGACATAACGAGACCCTGTATTTTAAAAGAAAACAAAAGTTGTTTAAGTCAGGGAGGAAAAGACACAGAGAGGGAAAGAGAAAATTAGAAGAAGGCGGCAAATTCAGCAGCACGGGGTGGAGGCTAAGAACAGGGGCTGCGCAGTCAAGGCGGCTAACAGGGTGAAGGGGTGGAAAGCATCTGCTTCTTCATTTCACACCAGGGAAAAATGAGGCACACGACAGCGGATCCGGGACGAGGAGACCCGAGGAAGGCACCGCCGTGGAACTTAGAATTTCCAGGCCAGCCACCTAGCGTGCCGCAAATCCCCACGCGCGTCGGGTTTCCAGCACCTGCTCCTCGCGTCTGTGGCCTAGGCCCCGCCCCTCCCGCTGCTTACTGGCTGCTACATGAACGGGACAAACGCAAGCGACAACCAATGGGAGTGGCCCACGGCGCGTCTTTCCCGGGGAAGCCGAGGCGGACGCGGGAACCCGGAAATGCGAGGGAAGGACAAGTGGAGAAAGCCAATCCGCCGAGACGAGGGCTGCGGGCGGTTCAATGGCGAGTCGCCGAGGGCGGGGCCAGAGGCCGGCGGAGAAGGAGGACCCGGGAGCCGGCGGCCTCGGAGCTGGGAGCGCGGGGAAGGCGGTTGGGGTTCTGACTGCCGCGCGCGGTGAGAAGGGGGCAAGCCCGAGGGGCTCGAGAGGACGGAGCCGGGAAGGGTGCGGCGGGGCCGCGAGCTCTGGGCGGGGTTCGGGAAGGGGAGGCTCTGCAGTCTTGGAGGGGACTTGGACCGGTCCCCTCTCCTCTCCCGGCCTCAGTTCCCCTTTTCTTGGGAAGTGTGGGGGAGAGATTCGCGCCTCCTGGAACGCATTCCTTCCCCGCACACACCCCTGGCACCGGCGAACTGCCCCTTGCCTGTACGGCCCCGTCCAGGAGCCTGTCCCCTCGGGAAGCCCGCCCAGACCCCTGGACCCGCGCAGCACTCCAGGCGCACCCGTTAAAGCTCATCGCAAGCCATTTCTCATGTTCTGTGGCAAAGGGCCAGGCTCCACATAAGACTCCGAACCCCCGATCCATCAGTCATTCCCGGGTCAGTACCAGCCCAGAGCAGGTGCACAGGCCCTGCTTAGTAATAAGGTAGAAGTTGAGACCCGGGGACCGGGCTCAGAGGCCCTGGTGTTTCCTTCCGGATGCCTCTGTTTACCTCTTGTGGGCCTTCTGGAATTTAACTTATGCTCTCTGTGCCTTGGTTTCCCTTGTCTGTAAAATAGAGCTAGGGGTAGCTCTTCTTTCATAGGGTGGCATGAGGGTGAAATGAGGCAATGTGTGGCCAGTACACAGCTCAGCACCTAGCACACTATAGTTGCTTAATAAGTGCTTATTGTTAGCATAGTGTTTGCATACCTGGCCCCCCTCCACTTCCACTGCCAGCCCCAAGTACATACAAGCCCTGTTGTCACTGAGGCCAAGCACTGTGGCCCACAGCCTGAGTTCCTTTCGAGATGCTCGAACTGCTCCTCCTCCTGGTGGGGTCCCTTCTGGACAGGCCAGAAACGGAAGGCCAGAGAGGGGAAGGGCACTGTGGGAGCTGTGGCTGAATATCAAGGTGAGGGCAATAAATGAGGCCACCCAACAGTTGTGCTTATCAAAGATTGGGTGTCAGAACTGCTGTGGCTGATCTGCATGTGTGCCTGTCAGTCATTTGTGTCCCAAATGTTTGACATATGTCCACAAATCCAGTGTCTGTAGTCAGAAGCCACAGGGATGTATGGAAAGGGGGAACACGTTAGAGCCGTGGGGTTCCTGAGTTCCAGGTCCTAAGGCTGTCACTTGCTCCCGGCGAGACTTTGGGCAAGGGACTTCACCTCTCTGAACCTCAGTTCCCTCACCTGGAGAGTGGGATGAAAACATCAGCTCAAGTTGAAGACTATGACCCATGGGAGGCCTTTGTTGCTTAGCACAGGGCCTGGATTACGGCAAGTGCTCAATAATTGTTGGACCACAGCAGTGTTATTTTCACAGTCACACTGCTCAGGAGGTGGCACCAGTCCTTCTAGGCTGGTCCCTCCTCTAGTGAGATCCACTCCTTGACTTGCCCCCACCCCGTCTCTCTAGTGAGCTAAAAGAGGAAGTCTCCAAACTCATCTTCCTGGCTGAAGTCACGCCGTGTCCTGAACGTGTCTGTTTCTCCTGTGACTCTTGGCTCCTTGCAGATCCTGCTGTGTCTCAGCTGCCTGTGGACATGCGCAAAGGGCCCTCTCCTGAGTCCAGATGATGCTCATGCCGATGGCTTCAGTGATGGCGGTGACTGAACCAAAATGGGTCTCAGTCTGGGGCCGCTTCCTCTGGGTGATGCTGCTGAGCATGGTGCTGGGGTCCCTGCTGGCCCTGCTGCTGCCACTGGGGGCTGTGGAGGAGCAGTGCTTGGCTGTGCTCAAAGGCTTCTACCTGCTCAGGAGCAAACTGGACAGGGCGCAGCATGCCGCCGCCAAGTGCAGCAGCCCATCCACGGAGCTCAGCATCACCTCCAGGGGCGTGACGCTGCTGGTGGCCAAGACCAAGGCCTCTCCAGGTAAGAGAGACTGGCTGTCTTCCTCAATGTTTGTTAACTAAGCAGACAGACATAGAATGTGTGCCATGTCCTGTGTGCAGGGCATCGGGGTATTGTGAACAAGTCAGCCCTGAGCTCCTAGTATAGACAAGGTGACGTGACTGAGACAGGGTCACAAGTGTGGTGAAGGGGAAGCACAAAGGGCTGTAGGAGCATACCAGGAAGGCTCCCTGGAGGAAGTGACACCTGAGCTGGGACCCAGTTGTTAAGTAGGAGTCATCCAAGGAGAAGGGCATCCAAGGAAAAGGACTCCAGGCAGAGACCAGAGGTTAGCTGTCATAACTGACATTAACTGTCATAAGAGAGCCTGGGGGCATTCGAGGAACTAAAGGAAGTTGAATGTGTGGAGCTGATCCTCAGGTGGCCGAGAGGGGCCAGGACAGGAAGGCTATGGCTAGAGCAGGCTCCCCACCTCCACCAGTTCTCTGTAGTGGGGACTGAATGTGCATTGTCAGATGATGGTGGTATCCCTGGCCTCTCCCCATGAGATGCCTGTAGCACCCCTACCACCACCCCAATTATGACAACTAACCAGGTCTCCAGACATCACCAAATGTCCCCTGGGGCGCACAATCAAACCACTGGGTTAAAAGAGTGAAAGAACAGTCCTGTGATGGTAAAGCCCCCAGGGTCTAGGAAGAGTGGGGAGTTGTTAACACCTTTGGGCCCCTGCAGGCCCAAAGGTGTGTCACCAGCACAGGACGAGCTGGAGATGTAGGAGAGGGCCTACATTGGGAGCTGTGGCCAATGGGAAAGGTCCAACACAGAGGGTCCAGGCAGAGTAAATGCCCAGAACTTTCTATGTCCAGAAGGCAGGAGGCTAGGAAGCCAAGGAGGTGCCTCCCTGAATACAGAGTGTGGCTCTGGGGACACACGGATAGTGACTGGCATACCACCACACGGCTGGGGGATCAGTGGTACTGGGCACGTTGAGTACACACGATGCGGCTGGAAGAAGCCCCCCAAGGCCCAAGGCCAGGGACCCAGGCTGGTCATCATGGTTTTCCGTGGAGACCAGCACAGGTGACAGCCCCCCTCAATGTCCTCTGCCCCCTATTCTCCCTCACATCGCTTCTTTGGCTCTCTTCCAGCAGGTAAGTTGGAAGCCAGAGCCGCCCTGAACCAGGCCCTGGAGATGAAGCGCCAGGGCAAGCGGGAAAAAGCCCAAAAGCTCTTCATGCACGCCCTCAAGATGGATCCGGACTTCGTGGACGCGCTCACCGAGTTTGGCATCTTCTCAGAAGAAGACAAGGACATCATCCAGGCGGACTATTTGTACACCAGAGCATTGACCATCTCGCCCTACCATGAGAAAGCGCTGGTCAGCCGTGATCGGACGCTCCCACTCGTGGAGGAGATCGATCAGAGGTATTTCAGCATCATCGACAGCAAAGTGAAGAAGATCATGTCCATCCCCAAGGGGAACTCGGCTCTGCGCAGGGTCATGGAGGAGACCTACTACCATCACATCTACCACACAGTGGCCATCGAGGGCAACACCCTCACCCTCTCAGAAATCAGGCACATCCTGGAGACCCGCTATGCCGTGCCCGGGAAGAGCCTGGAGGAGCAGAACGAGGTCATCGGCATGCACGCGGCCATGAAGTACATCAACACGACCCTGGTTTCGCGCATCGGCTCCGTCACCATCAGCGACGTGCTGGAGATCCACAGGCGGGTGCTGGGCTACGTGGACCCCGTGGAAGCTGGCAGGTTTCGGACAACACAGGTCCTGGTCGGACACCACATCCCTCCCCATCCGCAGGATGTGGAAAAGCAGATGCAGGAGTTTGTACAGTGGCTCAACTCTGAGGATGCCATGAACCTGCACCCGGTGGAGTTTGCAGCCTTAGCCCATTATAAACTCGTTTACATCCACCCTTTCATTGACGGCAACGGGAGGACCTCCCGCCTGCTCATGAACCTCATCCTCATGCAGGCGGGCTACCCGCCCATCACCATCCGCAAGGAGCAGCGGTCTGAGTACTACCACGTGCTGGAAGCTGCCAACGAGGGCGATGTGAGGCCTTTCATTCGCTTCATCGCCAAGTGTACTGAGACCACCCTGGACACCCTGCTTTTTGCCACAACTGAGTACTCGGTGGCACTGCCAGAAGCCCAGCCCAACCACTCTGGGTTCAAGGAGACGCTTCCTGTGAAGCCCTCACCCTAGAAATCCTTCCTCAGTGACAAAGGATGTCCTGAGGTTCGGGGAAAAAAAAAGAAACAGCATTTCTAGAAACCTAGTCACTTTCCAAAGCAAAAGGAGAAACATTCTTTACCTCCAAATGTTTAGTTTAAAAAAACAAGAAAACACTTAAGTTATGAAACCTTGTCTCTAAAATAACTTATAATTCAAGCAAGCTATTTATTTTCTTCTTTGGAGCAAGCTAGTCAGTGTTGTGTGGTGTCTGCTGTGTCTTGCTGGTGGCCGTACTTTAGGGACAACAGTGCCACCATGTGATCAGAACACAGGTTCTGGAGCAGAATTTGCACTAAGTGGGAGGAGTGGCCAGATGTGGGACAGGGCCCAGAGCCACTGATATAATGCCTCCAAGTACTTCTCTGAAACGGGCTGAGAGGTTCTGTGACTGCAACTGGGAAGTCAGACCCAAGTCGCAGCTGAGAGAAATGGCTGAAAGCTCACTTTCTTGAGGTTTAGATTAGTGGTGACTAACTTCCAAGCAAACTTCATAGAAGAGAAAATGAATGCTGACATTCCTTACCTCCAGGAACTTTTTGAGCCATAGTTTGCAAACTTTAGTGCCAGCGGCTGTTTTTTTCCATGTTGAGACTATTTTTCTAATTTAAGAATAGGGGGTAGCCATAAAGAGCTGTATGTTGGAGGGGGAAACATGGGGGGTGGGCAGTTTGGTTTTGTGTATTGGCGTTTCTCTCACACTTCATTTGTAGTAACTCAGGCCAGATGTTTTCGTCTAAAAGTTCTCTGGGCTTGTCATTCCACCTGTGTCATGCTGCCAGCCAGGTGTTATGCTAGTAGGCATCTGCCCTCACCCCTCTGCCTGAGTTTTCTGTAGGTAGATGTTAACCTGAGAAAACAAGTGCCACATGGACACCAAATAAGCATTTTTGATAATGAATTAGAGCACCAGTTTCTACTGAATGGAGCAAAAACCTTCAGCCATGGCCAGGCTGCATCCCTCTGGTCCTGGAGTTTCATCTACTTACTGCCTGGACCCCCACCTTCCACGGCCTTTGCACTGTCCCATGTCCCGTCCCCTGTGGGGAGGCAGAAGAGATTGCCTCAGAGTGGCCTTATTTTTCTCGCAACTTGTGAAATGATGCAGTGCTCTATGTAATATGGCCGAGTCTCCAAGCTGTCATCCAATGGAAGTAGAATCTTCTCTTTCAATCATATGGCACAGCTGCCAATATGACTGCTGCTATTTAGAGTCAGAGTGGTGGAAGTCACTGGGTCCCTTTCCCAGTGACGGAGCCCGTGATGTCTAACACTGTACTGCACTTTGTCAGCGTGTCAGTGATGGCGAATACGCAGTGTTGTCTGATTTGGGAATTCCATTCCTGACAGTAATGAGGCCACTGCTCTAATGTCGTTTATACAGTTATTCAGTTGTATAAATAGCACATTGAGTAGTTTTTGAAAGGTTAAGAAAAATAAGTGAAAAGATATATGAAATGGCTCCAAATGATAATTATTCAAACCTCTATAAAATATGTTTTCATACTCTTATGCTGCCAGAGGTACTTCTTAAACTCTTCTCGTCTTGGTTTTATAAGCACACCAAGGAGGTCTGACAGATGTGTTTGCTTCTACTATAGAGCAAGAGAATTTGCACTTTAGCTATATGTGAAGGATATTATTTTAACAAATTCCTGATTCTAATAAAGTTATTTTATTACATGAATGCCTAAGACTTTGCTGTCTTATTTGGGAGATGTTCCCATCTGTCATAAGGACAATGGGGGTATTCTGACCTTCGGCCCTATTCATAATACTGTTCTGGGAGAGCAACAGATCCAAGATGGTGATTTCCATGGGCAAGCGAGCCAGAAGTTGGATAAACCGCCTACCTAGGTGGATAAGGACAAATTACTGATTTTTTTTTTTTTACTAAGACTCAATTAACTGGAGTAGTTTTTCATGTTTCTATTTACCATCAGTTCTGGATTTTCTGCAGAAAACACAAACCCACTCATGTGCTCCTGGAAATCCATTTCTACAACAGTCAACACCCCGAACCTAAATTGGGTTCTGCTCAAGCCCGAAAAGGTTTGCCCCTGTAACAAGCCTGGGTTGACATCTGCAAGTATGACATTAAGGTCAGAATACTGGCTGCAGGCAAGAAAGCCAAACTGTTAATGTGAAGCAGCGAAAAGTAAGGCCACACTCACCCATAGTGATGTTCACGGCTCTTCATGTGTCAGGTCCCCAACCAAGAGGGCTCCCTCTGAGCTACCCAAATCATCTCACCAGCTGAACAGCCTTCCAAACAGCATCACAGAGAACACTGCAGGAGGAACACGTGGGACAGCAAAGGTTCTTGCTGCTGTCAACAGCCAGCGCTTGAATTTAATTCAGAAGTCTAGTAAAAAGTTTGTTTTGTGTGAAAAAGAGACGGAGGGGAACCTACATTTTAAAAGATGTAAGAGGCTTACGAACCAATAATTTACAGGAAGGAGAGCTGATATTTATAGGAAGGTGGAAATTTGAGTGGACAGTTGACATTAAGGGATTACCACTAATGTTTCTAGGAGTGAAGGCCTTTCAGTCCTCCTGAGACACCTGCCACAACATTACTGGACAAGCACAATGACATCTGGAACATGCCTCAATATAACAGAAGGTGGAGGGGAGACAGACATAAAGGAAAAGGGGCTGGGAGTTGAGGAATGCTGGAAGCTGAATGGTAGGCACACAGGAGTTTATTTTACTGTTCTGTCTACTTTTTAATCGGTTATATTAAAAAATGTTAAGTTAAAAAAATATAGAAAAGCCCGACTGATGCACAAAAACTTACTTACACAACAGATAAATGAGGAGTTGATTCCCATGACATATACAAGGATTCCCTGACATCCTTCTCCAGAGTGTTTAATAAAGTAAGCTTCCCCTACTGAACTGGCAATGCTGTTTTCAAAGCAATAAATATTTGATAAAAGATGTGAGGTAAAAAAGCTCAAAAGCTCCAGTGTCAAACTGCTATAAACTGAATTGTATAAAAACTGAAGACACATCACAGCTGAAATAATTTAAATCAAAGTGACAATGGGATTTGACTTACAGAAGTTCTATTTACACATCTATTAGGTAAAGCAAGGTACACCCACTTCAAAACACATCTGTATGTGAATGCACATCTGAGTACCATTCAGCAAGAAGTTTTGAAGAGAACTTCAGTTTAATAAAGCTAAATGGGGAGAATTGAAGTTTGCATTTGACATGGTATTAAACAAAACCAAAGGGCTGAACTCATGTTTAGACAACACAGGCCACTAGTCACTAGGCAAAGAAAACAGTCCACAGCAGGTGGCACAAATAATTCCTATACAAAACAAATGTTGCAAATATTCTGCTTTTAGGAAACATGAAATAATGGCTGACATGTCATTTACAAATACATAATATAAAAATGCACAGCCCCCTTGAACAAAAATCCAGCAAATGTTTTATAGATGACTTCCCTCAGACCCACCCCCGTAACAGGCCATTCTGGTGAATTACTAGCATCTGCCATTTCATCTTTTAAAATTAAAAGAATGACGGGCACATGTGCTGTGCAGTGTAGAAGAGAAGTGTCATACAAAAAGGGGCCGGAGCTGGCCAGAAACATTTGGACAACTGCGTCTCAAAAACCGTGTTCTCGTTTCGCTTCTGTGCCTCAGTCTTTAAGATACAAACGTATCTTGGGACACCACATCCTGGGTCCAGGGAGCCTGCAGAGTGGTCACTTTTCTGCCACTGCCCTCAATATGAGGGAGCACTGAAAGGCTCTTGACTTAGAACCCCTTCCCCCTTTCTGTCTAAAGCAGAGGAGCCATCTGTGGTTGCGAGCGGGCAGCACACCAGGCCTGTCCATCCCCAGTGCACCGCGGGGTGGTGGGAGGTCCGCCGGGCCAGAGTGAAGTAAGGCATTTCCTGTCTCCCAGAGTCCCATTCACTTTCTCAGAAACAGCTTGGCAAAATCGGCATTGGACATCTTGGGTGCCTCGGTGGCCGCTGAGGCGGCAACTGCAGGAGCCGCGGCAGGGCCATTCTCGGCCTGAGGAGCTGCAGCACTTGGGCGCTGCAGGGCACGAGGCAGTAGAGACAGCTGCGTCCTTCCCTTCCCCCTCCTAGAAGAGCAAACACTGAATGGACCTTTTGAAGCAACAATTTGTGGCCCCTCATTTATTTGTAAAAATAAGCCAAGATAGTTTTAAATATAACCAGAAGCTAAAAGGGGGGGAAAAAAAAGGATGAGATAATCCCTGCCTCCTTAATTCTGGCTGTTAAGTAAAAACTGCTTCAACAGACTTGGCCTTGTTCAGTTTTGGCAAAGATCAACCCTGAGCACCAGTCGCACTCAGAGGGGATCAGTGTGACTATCACCTCTCAGACCTCGCCAGTCACCCGGCAATTCTGCTATCTCCTCCTCATCCCTAGCAGGCAAAAAGCACAGCTTATGTGGATCATATAGCTAGGGCTGTAGACTGGCACACACGTGGGTATAAGATTTCGTTTTAAACACAACTCCAACTGGCAAAGGGGACTTGAAAATAATCACTGCCTTTAGTTTTGTCTGAAATAAATGACAAGTGTAAATTGGCCAGTACCAGGCAGAGGTCACTGCCTAGGCTTGCATCCTGCTCTGGAGGCCTTGCTCCAGTGGAACCACAGTGATTACCACAAGGAACAGCACGTCTTGGCTTTTCTGTCCTAACAGGAAGCTAATTCATGCCGGGTTAATCCCCCCATGGTCCATGAACTGGTGCCAGCCGGGACGAAGTTTGCACTAGTCTACCATGCAAGCACTTACGCTCCGTATGTCTGTGGCAAAAGCATGGGGCCACCTGGTGCCTTCCTGGTCTCCGGCTTCTCTGGAACCTTCCTCTGAGGAGGGTTGCTGATTGCCACTTTGATGACGTTCTCTTTGATAGTCATGCCGTCCATCTTCATCACAGCCTGCGACGCCTGGGATTCATTTTCATACTCCACATAGGCCAGGCCCTGGAAGAGGCAAGATTCAGAACCAAGTCAGATCCCACAGACCAGGGACGTAACCTCCTCCCGCAGGGCAGGCACTGGGCTTCCTCCATGAGACCAGCAGACCAGGCCACAGCAAATGACCAACCAACAGATTACCTTCCCCACCACTGCATCCTCTGTCTACAGGCTTATTTCCCCACCCTACTCTCCTTCCCAACTGCTGCTACGCACTGTAACTTCAGATAACCCTTCCAAGTTCAGTACACCTTGTATGTGGTGCAGAAGTAGAAAGAAGGAAGGAAACAGACAGATGGACCAGTATAAATCCAGCAAATAAACCAAGAGGTGGATGGGACACAGGGCCAGCAGCCCAGGTGCCCAGGTGAGCCCTTGTGTTTCTGTGCCTTCACCCACTCCCTCATTTCATCCTCTTTTTCTCTCCATTAACCTGGATAAAGGGGAGGGAGAGTGGGCGGTGGGTAGACAGTAACAAAACCACCTACTACACAAAATGGGGCACAAAAGGACTTAGCAGGAGACTGAGCGTGCAAGAAGGAAGGACAGTAGAAGAGGCACTGCAATGGAGGGACTAAAGGGGCCTGGCTGGAGGCCCCAGGGAAAGAGAGGCCTGCGACAGAGGGAAGAGGCTACAGGAGGGTGCCCACCCCAAAGCCCATGTGCTGCTGGTCACAGGGCTTCCCCCAAGCCCCACAGCCAGGGGCCATAGTGTGGTGAATTCATGATCATCTATTTCCAACTGCTTTATTCTTTTTAGCACAAGTAACTACAAACAAGTTAATCTGACTCCAAATGTAAGTAGAGCTAAGTGTGCAGATCTTTCTGTGAAATTAACTTTTGTTTCTCAGCAGACAAACTAGGAATCCATTCTAGAGGCTAAATCATCTTTGAACAGAGACAGACAGGAAGCTTGCCCAAGCCTTGAAGACAAGGCACAATCTGCTCTGACTCTGACCTTTGGTTTGCCAGCCCGATTGGTGACCAGCCTGAGGTCCTTCACGGTGCCATGAGCCTTACAGATTTCTTCTAGTTCTTCTTTAGTACAGGAGAAAGGCAGGCCTGAGATGAACAGCTTGTGTTTCTCTAGGGAAGTGCTGTACCTGAACACCTATAGGAAGAAGGAAGACAGAGAAAAACCATGATTCGAGGCATGACCCAGCTCACCTGACTCCTCTGACACCAGCCTTGTCCCCAGGAGCAGCCCAGCCAAGCAGACTAGAGCCAAGCCATGCTCTGAAACTTGTTAACGGGGCCACTGGGGTGAGTCACTTAACCTCTCCAGGCCTCCATGTCTTCCTCTGTAAAACGGCAAGAATAAAAGTGGCCATTCACAGAGTCTGATGAGGAGTCAATGAGGTGACACACATAAAGCATTCAGCACAGTCCCTTGTCATTACTAAGCACCCAGCAAGAAGGAGCCATGCCATGAGTCAGACCTCAGTCAGCCGGCTCAGGACGGACCTTGGCTCACAAGGAAGTTTACATCCAAACACAGCATAAAACTTCCATGTCTACCCTAAATATCACTGCTGCAGGAAGAAAGTGCCTGTCTAAAGCAACCATAGAGGAAAGGTATTCTTTTTTTCCATAAACCTACCTTAAAATCGGGGTTTTTGCTCTTATCCACACAGGGGGAAACAAACATTGGCCTCCCTTCTACACTCTTCCGGTCCATCTCCAGTGCCTGAAGGGCTGATTTCT